AGATCCTTGAGGCTGATGCTGCAAGACTAAATATTTGATATCTGGTTCGATTTTCGTAAGGAACAAACGAAGGTCTCCTCTTTCGGTGATATTCAGACGACTTCTCTGTTTGCGCATAATATGATTTCTCATCTGTGCGTCAGCTCATCTCATCTCCCTCCTCAATTCCCCTCCCCACCTTTTTTTAACCTTACTTATAGCAATGCCCAGTAGGAAGGCTTAGCTCCGTAGCCCACTTACTATAGCCCACTATAACAGACAGGCACACATACATACACACACACACACATAAAAAGACACATACATACAAACAGACAGGCACACATACAGACACACACAGACAGGCACACATACATACATACATACATACATACAGAAAAACAGACAGGCACACATACAGACACACACACACACACACGACACATACATACAGACAGGCACACATACATACAGACACACGCACACATACATACAGACACACACATCCATACAAACAGACAGGTACACATACATACAAACAGACAGGTACACACAGGGCCGGCCTTAGGCAATTAGGCGCCCTGTGCAAAAAGTCTTCACGGCGCCCCCCCCACCTCCCACCAAGTTGCCTGAATACAGTAACACACACAGGCACCGGGGACGTGTGTATCACGAGGCAAACAAGGCATCTGCCTTGGGCGCCACTTTGCAGGGGGCGGCAAAAAAAAGCATCCCTCCAAACCCCCAGGCAGATCCCTTGCTTGCCTCGCATCCTGGGGGGCTCAAGAGCTGACCGGCTGGCCACTTTTGAGCCCCCCCAAGGCTGGCAGCGGGCAGCGAAGGAGCATACTCACCTGAGCTCTTCCTGCTCAGCTTCCTCTGCGCCGCTTAATGAAGCCGGGAGCCAGAATATGACGTCAGTCCGGCTCCCGGCATCACTAAGCGCTGCTTACTCAGCCTGTGCGCCCCCTGCCTGCCTGCCCAGCAGCCACACTGGACTGCTGGTAAGAAATCCACTCCAGCTTTCCCAGGGAGGCTGGGTGGATTTAAAATAAATGTAAAAAATATTAGTTTGTGAGTGTTAGTGGAAATGTCTGTGTGTGTGTCTGTGAGTGTTTATTTTGAAGTGAATGTGTGTGTGTGTGTGTGTGTGTGTGTGTGTGTGTCTGTAAGTGAATGTGTGTGTGTCTGTGAGTGAATGTGTGTGTTGGTCAGTGAGTGTATATGTGTCAGTCAGTGAGTGTGTATGTGTCAGTCAGTGAGTGTGTATGTGTGTCAGTGAGTGTGTATGTGTCAGTCAGTGAGTGTGTATGTGTCGTCAGTGAGTGTGTATGTGTCGTCAGTGAGTGTGTATGTGTCGTCAGTGAGTGTGTGTCGGTCAGTGAGTGTGTAGGTCAGTGAGTGTGTATGTGTCGGTCAGTGAGTGTGTGTCGGTCAGTGAGTGTGTGTCAGTCAGTGTGTGTGTCGGTCAGTGGAGTGTGTCAGTGTGTCAGTGAGAGTGTGCATCTGTCAGTGTGTGTCCAAGTAATAGTGTATGTGTGTATGTCATTGTTTGTCAGTGTATATGAGAGTGTGTGTCTGTCAGTGAGTGTGCGTCTGTCAGTGAGTGAGCGTCTGTCAGTCAAAGTGCGGCCTTGACAGGAAGGGGTGGGGGAAATTTAAACTCGGTTACAGGCATGTACACACACACTCAGTTAAAGGCAGCCACACATACAGGCACAGGCACAAACAATGGCACAGCGACACACACAGACAGTCACATAGGCAGTCACACACACAGACAGACACACAGTAACACACACATAGACAGTTATACACACACAGGCAGGCAGTCACACAGATAGAAAGTCACACACACAGGCAGGCAGTCACACACAGACAGATAGTTACAGACAGACACACACAGGCAGGCAGGCAGTCACATACAGGCAGTCACACACACAGACAGACAGTCACACACACAGACAGTCACACAGACAGACAGTCTCAGTCACACACACGGGCAGTCACACACACGGGCAGTCACACAGACAGACAGTCACACAGACAGACAGTCATGGGCAGTCACATACATGGGCAGTCACATACATGGGCAGTGGGACAGTCACACAGACAGACAGTCACACAGACAGACAGTCACACACAGGCAGGCAGTCACACACAGAGACAGTCACACACACACACAGAGACAGACAGTCACACACATACACACACACAAGGACAGGCAGTCACACAGACAGTCACACACACACACACACACAGACAGTCACACGCACACAGGCAGGCAGTCACACAGACAGACAGTCACACACACACACAGACAGACAGTCACACAAACAGGCAAACAGTCACACACACACACTTACCTCTTTCCAGTGGATGCAGTTGGCTGATGGGGAAGCATCTTTCCCTCTTCCTGTACAGCAGGGGCTTCGGGAGGTATTAGCCCCGTCTCCGCCTCTCGATAAGCCCCGCCTCCGCCGCTCGGTAAACCCCGCCCCCTCTGCCGCGATTTTTTTTTTTTTAATAGACCGGGTGGAGAATAATTAATCCTCCAGCCAGGTACCTCTTTTAGCTCCCCTGCACTCCGGCCATGAGTGAGCTGTGTCGGCCACAGGGCGCCCCCTGTTCCATGGCGCCCTGTGCGGTCGCACAGCTCGCACACCCCTAAGGCCGGCCCTGGGTACACATACACACATACAGACAGACACAAGACACATACATACACACACACATATACAGACACACACACACACACACACACACACACACACGACATACATACAAAGACACATACACACAAACAAACACACACAAAATATTTTTGTCACCCTCCTGTTTCCTACCTTTTAGGTGCAGGAGGGTGACTTTCCATGGGGTCCAGTGGTGGCTCAGATGCATGGGAGTCAGAGTTCCCACTCTGACTCCCTGGTCTTCCTCCCGCGCGGCTCTCAGTTTTAGCTGGGAGGAGTGACGTGCAGTCACTTCCTCCCAGCGTGTGATGTAATAATAGGGGGCCCGGTCGCGCTTTTAAAGCGCCCATCGCTGACCGGGCCCCCTCTCAATCCACATCCATCGGGTGGCCCTGACAGCATGGGCCACCCGATGGACCCCTTGGGTGGCGGCCCCGGCGGTTTGCCACGCGGGCCAGGGCCGAAAATGGTGACGGCGGTACCCGGTCGCACGGGTACTGCCGGCTCGCACCCGCCCTCCCTTCCGCCTACCCAATCTCTGAAATCCCTACCGCCCACCTGGAATCCTGAAACGCCCACTAGTGGGCGGTAGGGACCAGGTTGACGACCCATGATGTAAACTGTTCATTGAATTATTTTTTGGCAAACTGTCTATCTGGGCTACATTTACTTACCTACTTCAACTCTATGTGGTAAGGAGCGATTCAGACCACCATTATCAAACGTATTTTTATAGTGTAATAACGAGGAAATCTAATTTTCTCATTATATGTTTAGTACACTAGGGCAATTCAGCAGAGAATGCATTGTCACACTGAAATGGCTGAGACAAACCAATAGGGCCAAATGATGGTCTACCCCCAGCATGAATTTAGCTTAGGGTGAGAGGAAATCCTCCAGTTTTTGTCTCACCACCTGTAATGAATTTTTAAGGGTTTAACCACCAAATTCCAAATTACAGCAAATAAACACCATATGACACATTTAAAGCTAAAATAACCAAACAATGATTATATTCACATTGGATAATTTCTCAAAATCAGTTAATTTGGCCCCAAATTCTCCATTCACATTGAAATGCTCTACTGTTGGGACTTTAGTGAATAAACCTTAAAGGACCACTCTAGGCACCCAGACCACTTCAGCTTAATGAAGTGGTCTGGGTGCCAGGTCCAGCTAGGGTTAACCCATTTTTTCATAAACATAGCAGTTTCAGAGAAACTGCCATGTTTATGAATGGGTTAAGCCTTCCCCCATTCCCTCTAGCGGCTGTCTCATTGACAGCCGCTAGAGGCGCTTGCGTGCTTCTCACTGTGAAAATCACAGTGAGAGCACGCCAGCGTCCATAGGAAAGCATTGATAATGCTTTCCTATGTGACCGGCTGAATGCGCGCGCAGCTCTTGCCGCGCATGCGCATTCAGCCTGACGGGGAGGAGAGAAGGAGGATCGGAGGAGGAGAGCTCCCCGCCCAGCGCTGGAAAAAGGTAAGTTTTTACCCCTTTCCCCCTTCCAGAGCCGGGCGGGAGGGGGACCCTGAGGGTGGGGGCACTATAGTGCCAGGAAAACGAGTATGTTTTCCTGGCACTATAGTGGTCCTTTAACTGATTTACAAAATATGAGTATCCTGAACTGGCTGTATTGCTCTATACTTCAGCATGTAAGCTCATCGAGCAGGGCCCTCAACCACTCTGTTCCTGTGTGTCCAACTTGTCTGGTTACAACATGTCTGTTCGTCCATCCATTGTAAAGCGCTGCGGAATTTGACGGCTCTATATAAATATCATAATAATAGTAATAATTTAAAACTTTTATTTTCTATTTACTATAATTGACTTTTGGATTTCCTTTCACACATTTCAAGCATACCTGCATAAAGAATTTGTAAAAAAGAAAACAAAAAAACCCCATGTTACAGGAATTATTTGCTATACATTGTGGGATTTCCCTTTCACACACCAACATTTCATTGATTTCCCTTGCATTAAAACCCAACAATGCAGGAAGGAAGGACACAGCCCTCAGAGCCTCCTTTCACACCTGTATGCTGATACTAATCCCAGACATCCTTCACACACACACCTCGTCCATTATCTGCCTACTAGCAGTAAGCAGTATGGGCACTTGCTGTGTGCCCCCTCATTGCCTGAGGCTGGTTTCCTCTCTAACCGATGAATAGAATTCCATGGTTTCCTGCCGGGGGGGAAATTCCCTCCACTTCTCACCTGCCTGAGCAGCCAATCACCGACAGGGAAAGGAGGAGACAGCGAGAGGACGTGCACTCCAGCCTATCAGCAGCGAGGAAGGCGTGGTGGAGGCGAGAGGTAGGAAGCGGTGTTAGAACGTTGGCTGTCACTTTTATTCTATTCCGAATGTTGCGTTCACTTTGTGTGGTGGGAGCCGAGTTAACGCTGCGCGGATACAGCTAGCAGCCTTCCACACGCATCCCTTCTTAGAGTATACACAGCCCGGGAATGGAGGTCAGAGAAGCCGGGCTGCGCAGACAGGCAGTCAAGAGACACCTGCACAAGCACAATCTAAAGCACCGCTATGAGTTCCTGGAGACCCTGGGGAAAGGCACCTATGGGAGAGTGAAGAGAGCCCGGGACAACCAGGGGAGAGAGGTAAGATATGGGATCTGCTCCAGGCAATAAATAACAACACTGCTCTGAGCTTATATGACACGTATAAAGAAGATGGTTTGAGCTCCAAGCATTGGGGTTTAATTATATTTCCTACCTGTTCTATGGTAAACTTTCATATACAGCATGTGTATTTTAATATTATTTTGTAACTTTAATAGTGTTCCCTATTATAACAATGCAGTGTTTGTGGACATGCTTGAAAACAAGAGAAATCTCAATGTAACCTTCCTGGTAATATATCTTTAAACTTTTATAACAGGTTCATGGTTAATAACATAGCACATTATCCTGGATGTTGCCATTTACTGTGTGCATGGCATGTTATAAGATCAGGGAGTCACTTCTCTCTAGAGCGTGCACTCTAACTGTGCTACCAGGGTATCATTACTTACTGTGCTACACCTACCTGCAGACATATCGGACAGTAAAGTGGATAGGACTTAAATGGCATAAAATGCATTTTTGGTAGTTGTGATCTCGGATATGCACAATCTACCTTGTTGCAACAAGAATTAATTAATGGTCGTTGTTGTCCAGTTTTGTGTGTGTGAAATCTGTGTGTATATATATATATAATCACATTCTTCAGATTGTTTAGCAAGGATCATTGCACAGAGGAATGGACCTTTTTATTTTTCCCTTCCCTACTGTTTAGTTAGATTGTTGTTGGCTTTGGCTTGGCTGTTGTTTGCATACAGAACAGGTGCTATTGGTCACTACCTTTCACTTCTGTTGCTATTTTCGTTCTTGGTGCAATTCCCCATGACTAAGAAAACAAATTTCCAGGCTGATACGAGGAGTTATTTCCTGCATTTTTGAATTTGTATTTATTTCTTAAAATATCTACCTTATTTTCACATAGTTTTATCACTGTGTGTTACATTCTCCAGACAAGGTATTGTTTTTAGTCATTTCAGTACTCTGTTGTGTCTGCAAGTTTTTCCTGTTTTGTTTCTCATAGGCAAGACAATGCTTGTCTGGGTTCCTTGGCATTGCCCTTGGGATGTGCTGGCACGTTTTTGCTTAATTTCGATAAATGTGAAAGTTTTGCTTCCTTGTACAAAGTCGAAATGTGTTTACTTTGTAGCACACACAATGTGAACAGCAATTACAGTAAACTGAAGTAAGATTGCTTATCTATGTACGTAGTCCAATTATGTGTGAAACCTAGAATTAGAATATAATTGTACTTCTATAATACCCTTGGGCATTTCAGTTAAAATGAGACTTGCTGTAAAACCGTTCAAACTTCCTTTTAAAAACTCTGTATGGAAATACGTTGGTAAAAAATTATATTTTATCTTTCATGATGAAAGAACGTGAAGCGCCATGGCCTATGTAGGTGTTTTAAATAATAAGTCTTAGTGACTTTTTAACCTCATTAAGAATAGCCAGCATACACCGAGGCAGAACAGGTAAAATAAATATCAGTTATAGCTCAATCTATTTAAAAAAATAAAAAAATTTTCCCTCACTAAACACAGAACTGTACTGGATTGAAAACGTAAACTACAAATCTAGGCGGCAATAGCTGTTCTGGAAGAACTCTCCCAATTGGCAATAGCGACAGCCTGGTTACTTTAGCATGACATTTTACACCTCACATAGTGTGTGTTGTTGTTGTTCTTTGTTTTTTTTTTACATTTTTATATTTTCCTATTCAGTGTTTTTAGTGAATAAACCCCTATGTGAAGGCTAAAAATGGCAGTACAGTTGCCTTTGATTTATATTCAGCATCATTACCCTTTACATTGGATGGGGCTTACCAGAAATGTAGGTGGCAAACATCTGCAGTGCAATCAGCCATAACCTCCTTACGATATAGGTACTGGGTATGAGACGAATGCTAAACGGACATAATGCTCATTTATATGTGAGAATTCATAAGTATACATGTGGAATCCATTAAATGGCTACAACTGTGCACAAATATGCTGCAAAACAATACAAAATGTTGCTTGGCAGACATTTTCTTTAACCCCTTAAGGACACATGACGTGTGACATGTCACGATTCCCTTTTTTTCCGGAGGTTTGGTCCTTAATGGGTTAAACAACGCAGTGCAAACGTCTGCTGAGACAGATGCGCGGACCTTCCTTATTTTGCTAAAACAGGTGGTGGTGTCAGACTACATCAAATTGCTTGGACTGGAAGATTCTGGTTTTGAATGTAATCATTGTTATTATGGGAGATGCAGTATGCAACACCTGGTGTGCCGCTGCTTGGTTATGACTGATTAGAGCTGAACAAAAGCAGCGTTTTAGGCAAGTTTGTTCATGTAATAAACAAGATGATTACATGTAGGCTTTCTACTCCCGTGAGAGAATCCTGTCTGCTCCCAAGGCTTTTCTGTTGATACAAAATAAGGAGAGTGTAATTACGTTTTGTAGAATTTACATTCTCAAGAACATTTACTTAGTGGCGGCATCCTTATCTCAAACTTTTACTTTTCATCTAATGGCATCTCACAACAAACATTGCTGATTTTGGAAACCCCAGAGGTGAACACAGACTGCTTACACTGCCAAACTAACAATCTTATGTCATTTGTAAAAACCTGCACAAGAAAAAAAAATGGTATCAAGCATTATTTACTAAAGTGTAAATTCTCAGAAATTTACAGTGAATTTCATATTTTAGGTCACAATAGCTGAATTGGAAACATTTTCTAAGGTAGCCATGTTTTTAGTTCAGCTATTAACCCTTGGGTTTTTTTTGGTTTTTTTTTGCCTTCCGTAAGATGAATTAGGGAATACTTAATACTTAAAAAAAATAAATAAAAAATCTCACACAATTGTAAACTGCAGACATCATGGACAGAGGAGAACAAAATGGTGGCTCTGATATCGAGATCCAGGGCAAGAAACTTCAGATGATTACATTAAAGTCAAGGGGTGGGGCAGTATAATCATTTCAAAATAAGGGGCATAAAGAAAGGAAAACTTTAAGGGCTTTTGTTTTTAGCTAATCCTGTTTGAGTACTGCAGCTCTCTATAAACGTAACATTCATTTCCATAAACGTTGAGCTTTCTTCACGTGTTTAGTTGCCTGGCCAGTGCATTGTGGGTGATTATTCATCTTAACCTTAACATTGTGCTTGTTTCTGTTTATATATTTGCATAAATAGGTATCTATTATTATAACCTGAAAGAACGGACTACCTTTTTAAATACGGATGCAGCTGACCTGCAAACTGCCAACCACATATTAAAGTGATATTTGTCCTATGTGCTTAAAAAAATAAATAAAAAAAAATTAATAATAATTGTGCAGGTCTAAAAACTTGAGGCTTGCATGTGGTCTATGAAAGCCATATATTTTACTCAATTTTATTCATGAATGATGGGTCTGGCCATATCCGCCTGTGCTCATATAAAACATACAGTTCACCCAATTAAAACTGGCTATCGTGATTTGCATTTTTTTTATTTTTTTCTCTTCCTTGATAACAGCAAGAGTGTGAAAGGTCAAATCTAAAGGATTGCTACGCACCCATCCCCCCCTTTTTTTCTATGGATAAGTAAAGTGATTCAGAATTAGCCTTTGTCCATCCTAATTTAAATTCTTTGATTTTCTTCTCCCAAGAATGCCAAACAGTAGAATCCTGGGAATAACTGGACACTTGTTCTAAACTGGTAGTTGATTCAGCTTTCCATTGACATGACTCATATTTAATCTCAATGGTATTGGTTAATGTATATATTATTATTCCAGGACACAAAACGGTTAAATGTGTCTTAAGAAATCCAGCTGTGTCAGTTTTACTCACTTTTTATATAAGGACAGAAACATTGGTGGGAAATGGTGACTATTCCAAGATGACTACTTATTTTTTAGTTTTATTGCATAGGTATTAGAAATGTAAACAAGTGTATTTACAAAATTAATTTTATTCTGTAGATAATATTGTATTATCATTCATAACAAACTCCCTAGTATTATTATTATTATTATTATTATTATTTTTATTTTTTATTTTTTTTATAAACCTAACTGGATCATGGCATTACATTTGAATGCTATTACATTTCTGTGAATTAACTCAATTCAATGGGTAGTGGTGAAAACATCTACTATGACTATGTATATTAGCACAGACACATTACTGATAATAAATATATATATATATATAATATAATCCGTACTTTGCAGCATTTGGTAGCTGTTCTTTGGGTGCCTGATAAGTTAGTCTGGGACTGCATTCCTTTTAGCATCTGCTTGTCTGGTTGCGAGGTTACCCACAATAGCCATTTGGCTTGCAAACATTTTGTACTGGGCTGTAATCTCTGGATAAAGACTCGGTTTGCTTTTTAAAGGACATTCCACTGTGTATCCAGGCCTACGGTCACACACACTCTCTATCCTTTTTAACCCATTCACTGCTGTCACTTGTGACGTCTCTTGATGCAAAGTCTTAATTAGTCTTTCTCATCATTTGAATTATTTAATTAAACAGAAAATAAAGCAGATTACCCCATTTATGGAATAGTTTTTGCACCATGGGGGATAGAACTCTTGTCCTGTGACGAGCATCTGATTTATTTATTTTTTAATTTTTTGTTTTTTTTGACACCTAGATAAAAATTACATTATGTCATATCCCCTAAATCATGAGTCACTGTTCTACAGTGGTAGCAGATGCATCCTTTGTACTAAAATCCCCCTTGTTGCTGGCACCCTGCCGACTCAGTGTCTCATGATCTGCTGTACAAAATCCCCAGTGCAGCAATGTGCCATCCATAAACACAATGACACATCCTAGCACTGGGAGCTAGCTAGCAGTTAACAAGTCACTTTAACGCAGTGTGATTGAAACCAAAATCTTTAAAAATAGCAGCCAAGTTTCACTATTCCTGCTACTCTGCAGGGCATTTCCTTTTGATATTAGTTGTATTTTGAATAATAACAAATTGCCTCACTGGCTGCAGGAACCAATCAGAACCTGAGCGCAAACTGATGACAGATGTTGAAATCAAGTGACCGGCACTGATTTCTGCTGGGACAAGGAGACTTTTTTTTTTTCTTTTCTTCTTCTTCTAATCCTCCCTGCTTTATTTTTCTTAGAGGGACATAACTTTTTTTTCTTTTTTTCTAATTATGTAAAAAATGTTCTGAAAGCTCTGAAGTTAGAGTGCTTTTTTATGTTATTGTAAACGTACTTTATTATCTTTAAATTTAATAAAGTAACAATTGCCATGTTTTTCCGTTCTGTGAAACGCTTAACTTTTCTCCAGTTTGATTTAATGATTTACATAATGCACTCCTGAAAATAGTCTTTGGTAGGCTCTTTCTATTTGTCTCTTTGACCGTTTTGAAATTGCTGCTACATGTCACAAATATGGAGCGGTTATTTGTACAAAACAACATTCTTAAGGTGGTATCTACGACAGATGCCATTGATTTCTCCAGCGATTTTAGTTTTAACATATTGCTATTTAAAAATAAACTTTTTCTTGTTTTCTCAACTACATCCATTAATAGAATTTTTTTTTTTTATATTTTATTTTGTTTGCATACATAAAGGCTGTCAAAGCATCATTATTATATAGCGCCAGCAAATTCCGTAACACTGTACAACCATGGGAGTTTCAGTTCGATAGAAGCCAGGTTTCTACAATGTGGCCACCCCTGTGCTACAGGAACACACTCTTCAACAAACTGTATTCCTATATTATATTCCTATATTAACCAGAACATGGCTGAATGAAGACTGTTTTAGAAGCGTCTTTGTGACCTATTTTCATGATTGCCAACACATGACATCAACAAGAGTTCAATCTCTTGAACATGTTATTGGTAGCAAATATCACTTTTTTTTTTTTTTTTTTTGTCTAGTATTTATTTATTTTTACACTCTCCATCTCTCCCACAAAAAGAAAAGAAAATGTATCCACTCTTAGAGAACCTTATGATGCTGTACAGGTGGACCCACTAATAAATATGCACGCCATCTTTCAAAATTCCAGTGACTAACATTAAAAAAATGAATGTGTGCATAGACCTTATTTGAATTTTTCTGTGTAACCCCATTTACACACAAAGAACATAGTCACACATTGTAGTTCAGATTCCGCATTCTTTCCCTACAAAATATTATTTTTGTTTGGTGGCAGCAATAAAAGGAAATATGTATGCTAGTAAGGCACACCATGAACTAACTACAAAGAAAGAACAAAGACTATGGTAATTCAATCCTGCGGCTGACGTGATTTTTCTTTCCATAGAAGCACCACCTCACTCCCACCTGTAACAACTCCATCTATTTATAACTTTACTATTGTAAGGGGTGCACCTCACAGTGCTCATGTGCCCTCTGACATCATCCTTTCTGCACCCTCACTATGGAAATTTAGGGTTAGTGACCTCTTCCTCCTCTTCGAAAAGTGTTTTAACCAGGACATTTTCCTTTGCATACAGGATTTGGTTTAATTCTACATTCCTGGCACAGTAATTGTTTTACACCACTTTCCTTGCTCACCCCTCTTCTTTGGTATGTTTGCAATAGCAGAGAGAGGGGAATTTTGTAACGTCTGCATCATCCCTTCTTCTAATTGGGCGTTTAGATTTCCCAGACTAGGAATTTGAAAGGAATGCATTGTATAGAATTGTCTATGCACCTGTGATAACTACTGGGTTACCAGTGTGTTCATATTTAGCCCATAATCTGTTGTTTGTTCTTTAGTTATTATTTTTTTTTTTTTTTTTGCATTGGTTTTTATTGGCAGAACTCTAGTTTTACACACATAATGAAAAGTAACCATTTATTGCATTACAACCATAACTCCTTAAATAGCCGGTATTGATAGATACACTCATTTAATATTTAACCTCAACCGTTTGCTTATTTAGTGATACTTTCACTGGCATATAGGTGGTGGTTTGCATGAAACTCTGTTTATGACTGATTTTATTGTTCAGTATGAATGTCTTATCTCTCTGCCATCTGTCTTGCTGTACTCTACTTTATAGGTGGTTGTTAAATGGAGCAATGTATTTGGAAGTATTGTCTATTACATTTTATAGTGATATGTATATACCTTCTGAGACAGAGCAATAATACTTGCCTTGTACAGACAGACAGACTAGATTGTAATAAGCAAGGACTAGCTCAAATAATCAGTGTGCTGATATCGTGTGTATAGATTTTTTTTCAATTTTTTTAAACCTATATTTCATATAGGACAACCTATATAAAGGACTCATTGACCTGATTCCCTTATAAAATGATAAATTGCTTTTCTTTCGTGCCTGGTTTTGATGGATTTTAAATAGCATTCTTAACTTTCTGGTGTTTGAATGATTAAAGGACCATTATAGTGCCAGGAAAACATACTCGTTTTCCTGGCACTATAGTGCCCTGAGGGTGCCCCCACCCTCAGGGTCCCCCTCCCGCCGGGTTCTGGGGAGAGGAAGGGGTTAAAATCTTACCTTTCTCCAGCACTGGGCGGGGAGCTTTCCTCCTCCTCTCCTCCTTCCTAGCGACGTCATCGGCTGAATGCGCATGCTCGGCAGGAGCCGCGCTGGCATTCAGCCAGTTCATAGGAAAGCATTTACAGATATAGTGCTCAATTTAAAATTCTGGTGCTTGCTTACAAGTCCCTACATAATGCTGCCCCAACCTACCTATTCTCCCTAATACACAAGTATGTCCCGTCGAGGCCCCTACGCTCTGCCAAAGACCTACGTCTATCCTCTGTCCGTACTCCCACCTCTAATGCTCGCCTCCAAGACTTTTCCAGGGCTGCACCTCTTCTGTGGAACTCCCTTCCCTTGTCCATAAGACTTTCACCCAGTCTCCACTCATTCAAAAAAATCTTTGAAAACTCACTTCTTCAAGAAAGCATATCAGTTAAACTGTTAGCAGGTTTTTATCCCCCACCCCCATGACTCCTCTCCTGCAACTGTCAAAAATTACCTACTAAGCCCTCAGTGAATACTTTTCTAACAACCTACTTCATACCCCTACTTTTACACTTTGTGTCACTATACCCCACTCCCTCTAGCATGTCAGCTCATTGAGCAGGGCCCTCCACCCCCTCTGTTCCTATACATCCAGTTGTCTAGTTAAAATTACATGTCTGTTAGTCCACCCAATGTACAGTGCTACAGAATGTGATGGCGCTATATAAATAATATAATAATAATAATAATAATAATAATGTATCTCCTTTTTATTTACAGGTGGCAATCAAGTCCATCCGCAAGGACCGTATAAAAGATGAGCAAGATATGATGCAAATCCGCAGGGAGACAGAGAACATGAGTTCCCTCTGCCATCCTCATATTATCTCTATATATGAAGGTAATAAGCTCATTTCCTATGTGTATGTCTGTATATAGCTGTGAATATGTAAACTCAACTAATCAGTCCTTTGGTTATTAATGTAGGCCAACCATAGAGACAAATAGCTTTAGTCCATTTAGGCCAAAATTGCCAAATACGAAACTATCTATTTTTGTGGTTCGGTTTCACAGTGTCCTGTTTAGTGCATAAACCCAAAGACGGTCTGTGAACTTCAAAATGTACTACATTTATTTTTAAAAAAATAACATATTTTATTGGTTTTAGTAAAAATAAGAATATATATTTAAATGTAAATAGTAGGTTAATGTGTATATGACCTCATCTATTTTTAACATTACTATGAGCAGCATTTTTCCTCTGCTGTGTGCTAACAAAAACATCTCCTCCCTGTGACACATTACACACCCCAGGCGTGCTGCATGCTCACACTGGCCAAGTATAGCTACAGGGAGCTTGGCGGGTCTGAGCAGGTGTTTGTTAAAATATGCAGGTTAGTAAACTGCTTTCAGCCCTGACAGACTAATGGCCAAAGTCAAAGTTACATGGAGAGCTGGAGCAAGGGTGCCCAAAGGGTAGAAAAATCTCCAAATGTTTTCAAACTACAACTTCCATGATGCATTGGCATTCATTATTATTATTGGCATTTATATAGCACCAACAGATTCCGTAGCGCTTTACAATATTATAAGAATGGGGTTTAACTATAAATAGGACAATTACAAGAAAAGTTACAGAAACAATGGGTTAAAGAGGCCCCTGCTAAAACGAGCTTACAGTCCATAGGATAGGCCTCATTGGATCTCTAGTTTGAAGACATCTGGGGATCTACTGTTTTGGGAACCTGTGGTCTGTTTATTAAGGTAAGTGCTAGCAGATGTAGTAATATCACAAATTAGATCATAAACCGGGTTATTTACTAAAGTCAATTTAAATTTTATGGCAAAATAGCTGAATTGGCAAATTCTCTTAAACGGCTATGCATTTAGCTTGGCTACTATGGCCTAAAATGTGAAATTCTCCTTGATTTTACTTTATTACTTTACTTAATAACCCCGAACGATTTAGTGTAAGCAACACTCTAACCATTGTGATAATATATAGAAAAAATTATTGTGTTGTGTTGTGAGGTATATTTGCCTTCATTTTAGTACCATCATCTGGGAGGGGATAACCATTACCACAGCTAATAACTATACTGGTCCTCTTTGGCAGTCACTTACCAGTGTTGTTCCAAGACCTTTGGCAAGCTTAATTAAATTATGAGAATGAGCTGTTTTTTTTTTTTTTTTCTTCCTTTCAAGAGATATATTTTTTATTTCTGGCATATGAATATAATCTCTCACGCAGACTGATAAAGCAAACAGTGAGATAAAATGTATCACTGCGCTTTATCTCTAGTAATTGGATTTGGATGCCTGTGCCAGTTAGTATCATGCCTATTTCTCGTATTGCAGATTTAATGTGTGTATTAAGCGATCATCTGTCTAGAGACAGATACAGTTAGATTCTAAATGCAACAATGCCCATTAGAAAAAAAAGCAATTCACACTCAAAAGAACACTGTACCCAAAACACTGTGTAAAGCCATTTTGATGCAGTTATAAACTAAAATAAATTCTAGTAATTCTGTGAAGGCCTTATTTAAAAAGAAAGTTTGTCCGGACTAATTGTGTTACCGCTTCAATGTATATGTATGTGTGTGTATGTATATGTGTGTATGTATGTGTATATATGTATATATATATATATATATATATATATATATATAGAGGCTGGGGTCTTCTCTTTTTTTTCTTTTTTCTTACACACTGGAAAATAATGGGGTTTTAGGTACAGTATATGATTTTACATTTCGTAAGCCTGCCACAACATCAAAAATGGGATACATTGGTGTAACAGGCTTATGCAATGTATGAATAATATACATTGTAACTAAATCCCCATTAAAAAATTGAAATATTTAATAAAAATTAAAAAAAATTTATATATAAAAACTTAAATTCTGTGAACTTCGCAGTTGCTGTTTAGTGAATAAGTGAGTACGTTGGGTGTTCGATACATTCTCCCCCTCTCCCCCCCCCAATATTATGTGATGCTTAATGATTTAGTGTTAGTTTCGTTGTCAGTTTCTGTTTTCCAAGCTATGTTCACAGTTGGAAAGGACACAGGGCATTGCTTATCAGACACACTGATAGCTTTTGGCTGTAAAGACATAAAAACACATCTAGGCCCTGTTCTGCCTCCTCCTATGCTTGCACCCTGTGTCATTATCAGCTCTTTCACCCATTTAACCCATTCAATATAAAATCTGCAAAAGGTGTGTATTTTATATAAAACACTAGGTTTCATGAATCAGGTGTTTCTGTTCTGTATTGTTGAAGATTTTGTAATGGCAAACTGAATATACACGGTCATGTTAAGAATTACAAACACTTCCTGTTAAGCTATTCATACTTAAAAGGTGAGTTTGGGGCCTTTTTGGTTCTCTTAAAGCTTAAGGGCATTTATGTAAACTAACTTCCTACTTCTTAAATCATGCATTGGCTTGGAATTTAACTTAAAGGAAGGAGGTTTATTTTAATTTAAAAATAAATTACTGCTTAACGAGTAAGTTATTTTTAAAAATGGTTGGGTTTTAATTTTAACATGGTGTATATGCAGGATATCGATATGATAATGTACATCTGGCTTTATTTGTTGTCTTGAGAACAGCAGTTGGTTTTCCATGTATATATTGTTTGGGGAGGGGGGTTTGTGTGCCCATAAAAGCCATTTATCCATCTTTTGACCAACACAGTGGCGTACATATAGGGGGACCCCTGTGACCGCGTGGCCGCTGTCATGTCTTGCAGCCCAGGTCCGCACGACAAACCACCTGGGCCACCGTTCAAGGGACCCTTCGGATGGCCCATGCTGTTAGGGCCACCCGACGGGTATGGATTTTCAGGGACCCTCTGTGATGACATCACACGCTGGGAGGAAGTGACTGCCCGTCACTACTCCCAGCAATCACACAGAGCCCGCGTGGGAGGAAGCAGAGGAGGGCGTCAAGAGTGGGAACTCTGACTCCCATCAACCTGAGCCACCACTGGACCCCAGGGAAAGTCGCCCTCCTGCACCTAAAAGGTAGGAAACAGGAGGGTGACTTAAACATTTTGTGTGTGTGTGTGTGTGTGTGTATATATATATATATATGTGTATATATATGTGTGTGTGTATGTATATGTATATATATGTGTATATGTGTGTGTGTGTGTGTGTGTGCCTGTTTGTATGTATATGTGTATTTGCTTGTCTGTTTGTATGTCGGTCTGTGTCTCTCTGTCTGGGAGGGAGAAGAGGGAGTGGGGAGGGTGAGGGGGCCCCATGGATTGTGTGTACGCCGCTGGCCATAGAGCATAACACTGGCTTATACTATGGTTATTTACAAATGTATAAATTGCCTGGAGCTGACCGGTAAATTTTGGGCCCAGGTAGCAGAATTGGAAAAACATTTCCAACTCTCCTTTTGTTCCACTAGTTTGGTCTAAAACTTGTTCTTCCCCATTTATTTCCCGGCCATTCCCAGTTCAATGAATAACCTGTTTTTAATCTCCTTACATTTGATGGGCATGACCGGATTGCCTACACATGTAATTACCATCCCACTATGTGTGCACTTTCAAAATATATATTTATCAAGAAGTAGTTTGTCACCACAATTACCGTACCCACTCCTGTTACTTTCCCAGGGGATGGGGTTGGGCAGCTCACGTGCAGGCATTGCCTAGTTTCCACCGGCTCAATACACTTATTTTAATAGCTTTTCATAGCCTATAATCTGTAAATGAGCCTGCTGTAGGATAAAGCTAGGCTAAGTGTATCTGCAGGTGTTTTAAGGAGGAATTAGTTGAGACAAAGAATGTGTTTGGCCTGGTATTCAAGGTATACTGTTTATTTTGGCATTGATGTATGGTCTGTGCCAAGTAATGTCTTAATAGACCTTTTCTGCCAAGCTCTGTCACTGGAATTTCTGCAGGATTCCGGTAACTAATTTCCACTCATTTCTCTGTCATTGCAGTGTTTGAGAACAACAGCAAGATTGTGATTGTGATGGAATACGCGAGCCAGGGAGATCTGTATGATTACATCAGCGAGAGGCAAAAGCTCAGTGAGCAGGAGGCCAGAAGGTTCTTCAGGCAGATCGTATCCGCCGTACAGTACTGCCATGCGGTGAGTATAGGCCACACTTGTGCTGCATATATTTTGTTTATGTGATCCACTTGTATTTTGTCAGTCTTTCTTAAGACTAAACTAATATCGTAATATGGCTACATAACTAATAAGATGGTTGTTCCTTACAGCATGGAATTGTACACCGTGACCTTAAGCTGGAGAATATCCTTCTGGATGAAAATAAGAATGTAAAAGTAAGTGATAATCCCATGTAATTAGCTTGGACTTGGCCCAGGTATTTCTAGTTCCCCACCCTTTCTGAGCAGCTGGGAATTCCCCCTTCTGTGCACCTTTTGCTTATCTAATTTCCCTGTCAGGAGTAGATAATGCAAGGTCACGTATTTCATTTCTAAAGAAAAAAAAATGTTTTAACAAGAATAAGTACGTCTGTGTTCTATATGTGCGCGGCGTAGATACCTGTGTGCTCTAGGCTGTGCAATTTTAGTGTTTGGTATCACTCTTGGTACTAGTGTAGTTTAGCTGTTTCACACACAGCTACAAAATCATTTTCAGTCCTTTTGAAAGATTGGTTTACTCTGGCCGTATCACTTAGTGTTGGTTATTTTGCCGTTGATGGACTTTACCCTCTGGCAGGGGACTTGTTTGAATTTCCCATGCTGGCACAATTCCAGCATCTTTGTGCAAATAGTGGAGAAACATGCTTCTTTGGTGCTCCTTGCCTGTACCTGCAGAACTGCTTTATTTCCGTAACCCTATCCCCTCCTGTGTAGATTAAAATTGTTTTCTTTATTCTCCATTAATTTTTCATTTATTTATTTCCAGATCGCTGATTTTGGTCTCTCCAACATTTACCATTCAGACAGTTATCTTCAGACATATTGTGGGAGCCCACTGTATGCCTCTCCAGAGATAGTGAATGGCAGGCCATACATAGGACCTGAGGTGAGAACAAGGTTATATCTTTCTATTTCTAATTTCTTGTCTAGAATAGGTGTAAACGTGTTGTTTTTTTCCCCTCAAAACAACTGAAATTTAAATCACTGGATAAGTGAATTAATATCACATCAGTTCCTTAATTTTACATATAGCCAGACAGAACTGTCTTTTCTGACGGCATCCAAAAATTCACTGTCCCTTATACGGAAGGTGATATTATATGGAACTATTTATCCAATGGATTTAAGAATGCATTCCTTGTTAATTTTACATTCTACTTAAAAACTCTTAAACCTGCAGTTACATGGCTGCGTCTGTAAAATAGTTGACCAGCTCTTCCACTATGGATATGAATAGAAATAGTGGGATTAGGGCCCAACTCAAACCAGTTTATCTTTCACCTCTCTGTTAATACAGATACCTTACCTCTAAAAAAAAATATATATATATATATATTCAATGTTAGAACCCCATATATTGCCAATCTCAAATATGTGGTTCACAATACAGAGTCTCAGAAAACATGTCTCTTACATCATTTCATACCTTAAAGGTTTTGGAATACATACTTTTAACCCCCTTTATCTAAAATGTGAATTCATTTTATGTTGCAGGTGGATAGCTGGTCCTTAGGTGTGCTTCTCTACATCCTGGTTCATGGCTCCATGCCTTTTGATGGACAAGATTATAAGAAACTGGTGACTCAGATCAGCTGCGGAGCATATAAAGAACCAAGCCAGCGGTCAGGTGAGTTAGTAATTGGTTTTAGAACATTTATTTTTGCATGAACTGGAAATAATCATAGCCTTGATTTTGTCAGGAGGGTAAAGAAAAATTAGCAGTTAAGTTGCTGGACAAATATTTTTGATGCAAATGTATCATCTGTCAGTATAGTATGTATGTAAATCTGTCTGTGTCCTAGGCCAGTAAACTACAATATTTGCATACTAATAGTGCTGTTATTGACTCATTCCTCCTTCTCTCCACTTTTGCAGATGCTTGTGGCCTTATTCGTTGGCTTCTCATGGTAAACCCAGAGCGTAGAGCAACCTTACCTGATGTTGCGTCTCACTGGTGGGTGAACTGGGGCTACCATGAGCCTCTGTGTGAGCCAGAGACTTGCAAAGACTCTGATAACCCCTTTTCCATTGTAGGAGGCTGGCTTCGCCGTTCATCTCGGCCTCTATGGGACAATGGTTCTAAAATGCGCTGCTTTTTGCGCCAGCATCTACCTGGAGGTACAATCACTCGGCAACGTTCTCTAAGGCGATCTAAAAGGGAAAATCTTAACCAGGCATCAGGAGTTCAGGTAATACAAGAGAAGCCTCCCTCGGTACCACCTGCTCCAAAGAAAGGCATCCTGAAAAAGCCACAACAGCGTGAATCTGGATACTACTCCTCTGCAGAGCACATTGAGGGTGCATCACCTACAGAGCCAGATAATTTACTTGAAGACCAACTGACTGCTGTTCTCAAAGAGCCACCAACTAGCTATGATGATACAGAAAAGCAAAAAGACTCCAATAAAAATATTGTTCCAAAAGGAATCCTGAAAAGAAATGGAAAGTTTTCTTCTGCCTGGGCAGCCCCAGATTTATCTTTCAAAGCTCTGGACTACCAGATAGGAGATGACAAGTCACCTGTATGTCCACTGGCACGGGAGAGAGCGCCATCCTCTGTTAGCCAAGAGAGCATCCTCTCAAATGAGTCTTTTGAACTGCTAGACTTTTCTACCAGATATGGCCAACGGGTACGGGGCAAACACCAGACCATGAGATGCAGCCTTTCTGCCGAAGATCTACTACGGGTAGATTTGAAAGAAGGTGAAGATGAAGACAAAACTAGACTGTGGGAAATGGGATGTTATCGAGCAAAAGTAACTGAAAGTTGCTTGTCCCTGGGAGCAGTGGAAGAAGAAGTGATGCAAGTTTATAGGAGTGCAGTGCTCATTGGACAAGAGTTGCGCTAAGCCACCTGTTTGTATTTTACATTGTAATGTGTTGGCTCCCAAAAAGAACTTAGATTAAAGGACCGAGAAACTGTTTCAACCCATTTGGTTCTGTGAATATTACAAATGGAGCAAACCACGTGTGTTTTCATCCAGTGTTAAGAAGAAATGCCACAGGGTTTATTGGCTAAGTAGACTTTTGATGCATTAGCTAATGGATCTTCAAAAAAAAAAAACAATGAATCTGTTAAACTTGGAGTAATGTGAAGTCTATAGTTTGGAGCTGGGCTCCCAGCTGACTAATACATGTGCGATACCACTGATACCTTGGGGATAACATTACCATTAGATGCCTTTTATTTGAAGTGATAAGTAACAAGATAAATCATCTTTTTAAATGCAATACTGGGGAATATCTACCACTAGCAACACAGCTCGTGGTAGACAAACACTACTGTGACGGGTTATTTATTTAAACACAAACTTGACATTGCATATGAGAATGGATATTAATTCCTGGAACAAGATTATTCGTCTATGCAAACATCTTGTTTGTGCCAAAGTCTAAAATAAAAACCAAACGACAAAATGTCACTAATATGTTATCTTAGTGTTGTCAATGTGAACTTCAAACTGTAATTCCATAAATCTCTACCCTATGTCTTGAATTGCAAGTTGTCGCATTAGGTTTATGGAGAATGATGCCAAATATTAACATTTCTACCTTTGTTATAAGGAGAGAAACTTAATTTAAATCTCATTAACAGTGCCTTATTACTGCTAACGATGTCTAATTAAAAAATATATCCCTTCAGGATCTCAGTCATGGGTCCTCAGTCCTCCCCAGCATTTTACATCATATAGTGGCCATGTGTGAAGACCACACTTTTAAACTAGGTGGCTGATGCAGGGGCAGCCAAAGGTAGAACCATATATCTTGCATTTTCCTTGAGGCTGGCAAAGCATCATGGAAGTTGTAGTTAACTCTCAACTGAGAATCTACCTCTGCCTCCTTCTACTGCATGAGAAGATGCACACAAAGTTTAGTTATGTGATCTGTTCCTAGAAAACAGGAAAAAGTGGTCCATGGGAGCAAAGTTAATTTACACAATTTCATGTTGCTACAGAAAAGCCTTTTGAGGATTTTATAATGTGTTTTTCTATTTTTATTTTGCACATCATTTTTGGAGTTATTCAAAATGTGCATATTGGTGTATTTGTAAACTCAAGCTATGTATACATATTGGTATGCATTTGCAGCAACTTCTTTGAGTTTTGATTTATTTTTGTTTTTTAGACCCCCGGTAAAGTTGTTATATTAATTTTGGGCATAGGATAATATACATAACTGGTATGCTTCAGCAATAGATTTATTTAATGTTAATATATTTATTGAGTTTTTAGGAAGATTTATTTTTTATTTATTTTTAAATAGGATTTTTAAACCCTACTTTTGAGCAACAGATATAACAATGTGCTCATTCCCTCCTTTAAACGTCTATTTTCTTTAATACTTTTGGAATAAAGGATCCTATACAATGGAATTTAGTCACTTAACAGTGAGTATTGATCTATTGACAGTCATGTTGCAAAACATTTTCAAAGACTTTGGGTCAGAAAGATAAATGAGTTTGGAAATGTTTTATTTTTTATTTTTGTGTGTCTTTTTGTTTTTCACAAAATTTGGGAAAGAAATTGTACTCCAACACATAACAAATGACTGTTTTCAAAGATATTCCAATGCATTTCACGCTCCTTCCCCAGCAATGAATGTTTTAGATTAAGCTTTTTATTCTTCCTTGGATTGTAATGGCAGTTTGTATGTGTTGCAGGCAACCAACATTAGTATTTGTAAGTGATGGATGAGGACGGCAATCAAATGTTTGTTTTAAAGGGAGGGTGGGAAGTAATATTGTTTATTGATTTGGTATTTTTGTATAATTTTTCCAACAATATGGTCCATACATTTTCAGCACATTAAACCAAATGATAAGACTGGCATGTGTTTTGTGTTTCTTTATAGTTTCCTTCATTGTGTCTGCTGTCCATCCTTTGATAAGACTTTTGTGTAGATATATAACACATACAATACATGCAAAAATGCAAGATTACTTTTTTTTTTTTTTTTCTACTTTTTCTGAGGTTGCCTACTTGTGTATTAAAAATAATACGTTTGCAACTGAGCACACAAAACTTTGTGGGAAAATTCACATTTAACTGAAATAATATATCTTTGCTATAATACACTTTGAACCAAAAAATGTAATCCCTTGAAAACAATAGGGGGCGAGGGGGAGTAACTAAAAATCAGCGTAAAAAGGGAAGAACTGTGTGACCAAAATCTAGAAGGCTTGTATGTTTAGAGCAGAGGCCTGTAGATGTGGCCTCAAATCTCCCAGCGGTGCATCTAATATGACTTCAGGCGTTTTCAATGAATGTCACTTCCAGTCGGCACTACATCTGTGTCATGGCACACGCTAAACAGATGGCAGTTTGTAGCAGGGTGGTAAGCGGTAAAGGCTTTCCCGCTTACCACCCTGCTACAAACCGCCATCTGTTTAGCGTGTGTCATGACACTGCTTCTTTTCCGTTATTGGCACAAATGCTATCATATTCATACATTACATTGGTGTTATGTAGGGGAATCAGGAACGCAGCTGAGCAGGAGTGGTAATTACACTGCTGACCACCTACTGCACACCTGGCATCGAAGCAGCACATGGACACACCAGCATGGCGTGTAGTAGCAGAAGGGCGCAGCATCCTGTGGCTGCCACTCCGTGCCCTGAAGAGGAACCGTGCTGGTTGTAATGGGCTGCTTTCAGTGCCTTCCACCCGCATGTGAGTAAGGGAGGGTGTGATAATAATAATTCATATTAATTAAGTATGATTGATCACTATTGAGCAACTCAAACATTTATAGATAGTTAAGATGGCACCGGTAAGCATATAAGCACACATAGCACATATTACTAGATGCAGGCTTGAAGGCTTTATGCCACAGCTATTAAGCGCTGACACAGCACTACAGCTGTTTACTAAGCTGACACAGCACTTCAGCAGTTTGAGAATCTTCTGTTGCCATCAAAAACTTATGTTGCCATCTCTAGAACAGTACAAAGAAAGCTTGTAAATAAGAGATAATTAACCGCACAAGATTTGGCATAGGTTCTGGTGGTCCTGAACAGTCTGGCCAACTGCCAGGTCCATCCAGCTGCTTGTATCAAGGTCTTTTGCTGGGCTGCACTGATAAGGAACTACTGATTGTCCTTGAAGACAGGTGTATATAAGACTAAGGAAATCTTGCGCTCACTTGGAGAACTACCCACCTGCAATGCGGACGCGTGTTACTGGTTTCTGCTATTCCCAGAAGAGAGGGTCTCTCCGAGTGACTGCCTGAGTTCCCCCCGGTCATGTGTGGCAAGGAGACAACCAAGCTTCTCTAATGGTGATGTATACTTAAGCTGATATATCTAGATACTAAGCCGTTTGAAGTAATGTATGCAACTACTTAAATGAGAGTAAAACTTACTTTGCTTAGATCCCTTTGTGGATAATAAAGTGTAGTGTGAATTCTTATATTCAACTTGGTCTCTGTGTGATTTCTCTTTCCTATAACTCAATGTACTCTATCCGAACTGGGTTGTGTGCCCGCCAATATCACTATAAACCTTATTAGGTATTGATTATTACTTTTTGGATATTGGTGCTCCATGAATTTAATTATTAGGCACAACAGAGGGCTGCTTGCTGTGTGTGTTAGTGTGTATGTGCATTAAGCAGTTGTGTGTGTTGTTTTAGAAGTTTAGGTATGTAATTTGTGCAAGTATTAGGCAGTGTTTACGTATGTCCATTGGGCGAGGTGTGTGTCTGATGGAAACCGTATGTATGCATTAGGTAGTGTGTGCTGGGATTAAGCAGTTTGTGTGTATGCATTCATTAGGCACCTAGTGTTAATGTGTGTATCTATTATGCAGTGTGTATATGGAGAGGTGTAGCGAGGGGGGGATAGAAGGGGACAAATGTGTATCAGCAGTGGCAAGAAACTGCACTTCCAAAATGCTTCAGTGTGGGCGCCGAGGGATCATTGTAATGCTTGTATAGATTCTTCACGCACCATGTTCCATTTACCGTATATACTCGTGTAGAAGTCGAGAAATTTTAGTTGTAAACTTCATCTTAAAATGCAGAGTCGACTTATCCACGGGTCAGCACTAGTTTCGATAGAATTTCAACTCTCGAACACTGTTCTCCTAGCTGTTCAGGATGTCGCACGGACAGGGGTATAAGTTTCAGCGTGTTTGTGTTGCCGACTCAGAGATCCATGCCGTCGACGACTATGTACCGCTACCTGCGTTCTGGAGGCAAGATTGTTTGAACACATGCATTCGTATATACAAATGGCAGCCATCCAGGCAATGCATGTTTGTTGTTAACAGCCAGGGGTGGTCGTGATTATGAGGTGTTAACAAGGGGGTCCATACAGTCTGTTCGGTAAGTGAACAGAAGAACAATTCCATTCGAATGCAGTACCCTTGACTTATCCACGAGTCATAGCATATTTCACAATTGTTGGTCAAAAAAAACTGCGCTCTACTTCTAGACGAAATCGACTTATAAACGAGTATATACGGTATGTCTGTACTTGCCAGCCACATAAATTGAATCAGCTCAGTATTAAGTTTAATTTTAGTTTTAATTATCATGATCTAACATAATGGATGTGCGCTTGTTTGGTAAGGGGGGTTGCAGAATTTCATGCAGGGACCCAGGCAGCAAAATGCCGGTCCTGGTGCCCATCAAATTCTTTTCCTGTTATAGAGTATTCTCTTTTGCAGAGGACACCCTTTGTAATATTCGTTTGTTACCAAACTTCCTGTTTAACAGTCACATACTCAACATGGGGTTTTTTTTAATGAGCTTACTCGGAGGCTGCAGGGAATTGCAATTGGCTGCAACAATCCATCCAATAACATCCATCCATAGATTTGCACTTCTGTAGCATGATTTCTCACCCCTACTGGCATAATTGGGTACCCTTGGCCTATTTTATCATTCCATAGACCAATGAAGGACGGAGTAACAAGTTCCATTGTCCATTAACCTACACCTTCGACACTCCCTTACAAGGATGGGGGAAGTAAAGATTACTATAGTGGGAGTTGTCCTGGAAAATAAACCAACGGAGAGGAATGAGCAACTGTAAACACCCCTTGACTCTTTGGTTGTTAACCAGTTTGATTTAATCCTGCACACCACTCAAATTATAGGCCAAAATTGCCAGGCAGAAAATCAATCTGGAGAATTATACTCAACCTAACAGGGGTCCAGTCTCCAATTACAAATCTGTTTGGAACACCTCACACTTATAAAATTTTGCTTAATTCTTACTATAATCTATAACATTCTTCAGTCAGCTTGTTGATTAACATATTTATTAACCTGCTCTGGGGTAGGTCAGTAGTCATTGTTCCTTTACTAATTGGTTCAATAGATTAAAAATAAATAAATGCACGGCTATATGCCTTTATACATGTACTGTTTTGATGACTGGAATAAACCTTTGATCTGGGTGGCATGTCATGAAGGATTTGCATAAGGAATAATAAAGTAAAGAGCACTGGGTTCACAGCTTAGTTATTCTTGTTTATGTTTATTGATGCTTGTTAAATGTAGTTACATGGAATATGTGGTTGTATGATTTCCTCATAGCAATCAGAAAGAGCTGTTCTCAGATATAGAGGGTTATTCACTAAAGTTAAAATTTAAACTGAATTCAACTTCATGCTAAAAATTGCTGAACTGAAAAAAAATAAATCTCTAAATTAGCCAAAGACTTGGCAAGATCCTCTTGTCTTTCCTCCTTCAAGCATTGCTATTTCCATGTCTGTCTCTTGCCAAGCAATGGCATGACCATCAGTTTTACCTTGCAGGCTCCCTACCGATTTGTTTTGTTTGACTCCAATCTCTCCTTCACCCCTCATGTCTAGTCTGTTTTCAAATAGCCGCATTAGGTGTTAAAAAGGTGCAGATAAGGTACTGGTTGATGCTGCTGTCCTCTCTTGCCGCTTCTCTGTGGTCTTATGTGTTTGCAGCTTGCCTCTTTACAGTCTATAATGACTGCAGTGTAAAAAGAAATTGGGGCACACCCAGAACAGGCATCTTGCAGGAATGGTGCTGCCGTAGTGACCAAATTGTATACATAATAGAGATTAAGGAACAGTGTACACATAAAAAATACATTTTCAAATTCTATAGGGTTACTTAAAATCGCCTATCTCAGCAAACAAATAGGGTGATTCAGTAAGTGTTAATTTCGTCCACTAACAATTTTTAATCAGATTAAGTCGACTAAAATTTTGTAAATTTAGTTGACTAAAACAATTCAGATGACTAAAACGTCTTTTTAATCAAACTATGACTAAACTAAATGGAAATATGCCAGAAAAATTAACACGGGCAGGTAAGACATGTGGAGGAGGGAGGAGAGAAATGTAGACACATGGGGGGCAGGAAAAATGAGACACATGAGGGAGCTGGGAAAATGAAATGGGGGGGGATGAACACATGGAGGGACTGGGAGAATGAGACAACTGGAGGGGATCAGACACATGAAGGGGCTGGGGGAACAAGACAATTGGGGTGAGGGAGGAGGGGAAATAAATACATGGAGTGACTGGGGCACACACAAAACAACATAGAGGGACTGGGAGAGAAAGAGCCACAGAGAGGGCTGTGTCAGTCACACCTAGCGGAGATGTGACTAGGGCTTCATAAACAGAAACAAAGGTGATTTTACTCCTAAATGACAGTGAATTGAGCAGTTACACTTCAGTGGCACGATCTATACACAAAACACTATTTTATTAAGCTAAAATTGTTTAGATGAATATAGTGTCCCTTTAAGGCCCGGGTAGCTGACTTAGAAAATCTTTCCAGTTCGGCTATTTTGATCTTAAAATTTAAATTAACTTTTTATTCACCTTGAATTCTCACTTTAGTGAATCACCCTGATATTTTTGACACTGCTTCATGAAAATGTGTAATATGTCCTCAGTACTCGGTCTCTCTTTTGGGCGCAAATGCGAATGTCTAAAATGGCGCCGATAACACTTCCGGTTTCGGCGCCCGGAAGACGTCATGACGTAGGGAGCCGTTTGGGCAAGGAATAATGATGCAAACGGTAACGTCATCATGCAACGTAACCGGCAGACGCCGAATGATGACGAAAACGGAAGACATATGGGACGCCGAAAAAGGGCGCTAAAATTTGAAGACATAAAAGGAAAAAAATTGGAGATGAGAAACAGACCACTTGAGAAAGGCTGTGAGTGCCGAAACGCGCCGTGGTATAAAGGACATTTGACCTGTATTTACTACTAGTTTTATTTTCTATGTAGTATTTTAATAATAAAACCAGTTTGGATTTGATTCTGCATCCTGGAGTGATTTCAGAAAGTATTTCCAGCGCGAATCCATTAAGATTGGTACAGGACATCCAGAATTGAGATTTCTCATCTCCATACAAGCCCTAAATCTGAGTCAGCTTTTAAAGTGACTCAGCAATATGTGAGTTTAACCAGTCACATAAAAACATTTGCACATATTTTAAACAATATTACACTATGTTCTTGTGTTTTATGTGTTTTTAGATATTTCAACTAAACAAAGTTCTGGTAAAATATTGTATTTGCATGTTTTGAGTGCTCTCACCACAATTTAATATTTTGCACTTTATTGATATTTGGTGTGTTGGAGTGATTCACACTAGGTGATAGTAGCACCTAAATTATACTTTGTTTCCCCCAATTTTTTTTTACTTGTATATTGAATGTCATATTGTTGTTCTGTCGGAGTGTATAACAGAGCTTCGTATCAGCAATCTGTCTTGAAACTAGTATAAATGTGTTTAGAAATCAGTCTGTACCCTACCCATTCTTTTCTGTATTCTGTTTTCTTTGAAAAAAGCTAATAAAAATAGAATGTTAAAAAAGGGGGGTGGAACCTGACCTTGACAGGGAGCGGATGCCAATTCAACTCGCTCCATACTAATCTCCCTCTAAAGCTTGTTTTTTGGGAGCCGCATTGAGCATTCTGGAGCTAAAAGCTCGATCCTACACCCATAAACCATACTGCAACGACATATGCCATTTTACACACTCCTAGTCGAATCAGCAGAATCTGGACCTCGCCTTTTGGTAACACACGAAGGGACAGCACACAAAATTTCCTCTCTAACCGAATCACAAATCCTACTGCAGGCCTTGGGCCTTGCCTTCCTTCGACCTTGGCAGACTGCAGGACAGCCATGTACGGGACCCAGCAAACACTGTCCCTCCTTACCCTGCACCTAAACTAAAAAAAAAA